AACAGAAAAGTGGGTGAAGGGAGACACTGGTCAGTGTAAGACATGAAAAAATAATAATAATGTATAAATTATCAAGGGTTCATGAGGGAGGGGGAAGGGGGGAGGGAGGGGGAAAAAAGAAAAACTGATACCAAGGGCTCGAGGGAAAAGAAAATGTTTTCAGAATGATGATGGCAACAAATGTGCCAATGTGCTTAACACAATGGATGGATGGGTGGATGGTGATGAGTTGTACAAGCCCCCATAAAAATGTTTAATTAATAAATAAATACAGATATATTAATATATAGTATTCAAACAGACAATAATTTTGAAAACATCAAGGGAGTGTTTCAGTCCCTTAAATCTGCTACAGGTAAGTTTAAGGTAAAGTCTAGTTCATTTAGTGGGGTTTCTGATTAAGATCCCTATTTGGATCTTATTGATGTTAGCTTATTGAACTATTATAGAATGATCTACACTTTTTAAAAAGTAAAGTGTTTTATACTAAAGAGTGTCTTAATATTTGCACTCTATGTTATACCTGGCTCTCCATTAGGACCAGGGGGTCCTATGTCACCAGAATCTCCTTTTTCACCTGAAAAAGAAAAGCAATATGAACATTACCATGTGGAGGTCATCATGCTCTATTGGTTGAAAGATGTCAAGGTTAAAAATGTTCATTATATTAATATCCTAGGATTACTCCTAAGCCTTATTGGCTCAGAATTATAGAGGATTGTGCCCCATACATAATCATTCTGGATACGCTTAGATGATAAATGCATATCATTGAATTTTGGAGATTAGCAGATGATCGATGTTAAATTACTTCTGAAAAGTCTACTGTATTTCATAGGACACTATAGATATCTCATGAATTTTTTAAATCATGAGATAAGTGGTCACTAATTCTGATGACAGCTCTACGTGTCCCTCATAGTGAAAAATTCAAGTGGAACACATAATGCCAAACTGGAATGGATATGAGAGATTATTTAATGCAAAGCTAGTCACAATGTTTATAGTATCATGCTGAGATCAAAGTCCTTTTTAACCTAACTCTTAGAAACAGCATGGCTTACAGGAAAGTTCTAAACTTGGGGAGACCTGAGTTCTGTTCCTGCCATTAGACCCAACCACCTGTTCAATAGAATCCTGTCCCTCATTTTTCTCAACCTATAATATTAAGAGATTTAATGAAGCTATGCCAACAAAGCTTTCTACTTACTCTAAGACTAAGCCACAAATATATACATATATTTAAGTCACCATGAATATTCTGAAACATTATTTTTCTTCTCAGTGAGAGAACCTAAATCTCTCAACTAACATAAGATAGTGAAAGGACGGACAAGTCCACATCTGTGGGTTCATAATTTATTTACCAAGAGAGAAACAAGCTAAGTGGTTTTCACCAAACTGATTCCTTTATGCTCTTGTTGTTCTCCCTTTTCCTAAATGGTATTTGTTGTTGAGTAGATATGCAGTAAAACATACACTGATTCAACAGTTCTATGTGAACAATTTAATGACTGATCATATTCTCATCTTTTCCAAAGTTCTCTCCTCATTAACATAACATTACTGGACCTAAGGCTACTATCTACTCCATTGAGATGCTGTTGTCAAATTTATGCCATATAGATAGCTCTTAAAAGAGTATAATGCACATGGCACACTTTTATTACTTGTCATGGATTAATGTTGGAAGAAACAGTGTTGGATTTTATACAATGTTTTTTTTTTCATCCATAGAGATGGAAGGGTTTCTTCCTTTGTTCGTGTGATTGATTTTAATATTCAACCATCCCTGCTTTCCTGGAATAAATCACACTTGGTCATGATATGTGACTCTTTTAATATGCTCTTGAATCCTGTCTGTAAATATTTTGTTGAAGATTTTTGCACCTAGCTTCATGAGAGACCTTGACCTGTGGTTTTCTCTTCTTGTGGTGTCTGTGTGTGGATTTGGTATTGGGCTATGCTCCCTTCATAGAAACAATTAGGGAATCCTTCTTCTCCACCTTTTAGAAGGGTTTAAACAGCATTCATGTTGGCTCTTCTCTAAACATTTGATATAATTCGCCAGTGAAGCCATCTGAGCCAGGATTGTTGTTGTTGCAAGAGTTGTTCACTGTTACAATAGCTTCACTTGTCATGGATATGTTGAGACTTTCTAGTCCCCCTTAAATTGATCTGGGTAGATTCTTTTATGTTCTTTATTCACTAATTTTGGTGACTTGAAAAAGTATTGGAAGTCTAGCTTAACAAAGTCAATGTCAACTCATAGTCACCATGTAGGACAGGGTAGAACTGCTCATGTGAGTTTCTGAGACTAACTCATTATGGGAGGAGTAAGCCCATCTTTCTCCCACAGCAAATCAAATATGGATCTTCTTAGCAAGTTTCACTCTGGTAAATATTTAAGTTTATCCAGAGCACATATTTTAAATTAAATTTATTAATATCTTATTTTAACATGCAAATGCACGTGTACTTTTAATATATCCATGCATCAGGAGGAGAGTTGGTTCATTCTGATTTCCCAGGACAAGGGACATGTTTAAGTTGATCTGATCACACTCATAGTCATCTCTTTAATTATAGAACTCTTGCTGCCAGGTGGGACCAAGGTGCAAGTGAATTCTGAAGCCATGGGACAGCACAGACTAACTGAATTCACTCATAGACCAAACTATGACCTTGGTGAAATAGCTCCTGGGTTAACCTACTCCTTGGCAGATTAATCGAGTGAAAGAACCTGGGCACCAGCATCAGGTAGAGGCAAAGTCCATATCTGCTTCCAATTTTCAGGGTAACTTTGTACCAATTTCTAATTTTTCCCAGAAGTAGTTTTCTAATTTCTAATACCCATAAAAATTTTTTTTAACAATTGCCATCAAGTGAATCCTGGCTCACGGTGAAAACTTACGTTTCAGAACAGAGTGCTACCATGGGTTTTTTAATGGCTGTGTCCTTCCGGAAGTAATTTGCTAAGCAAGACTTTCTTCTAAAGCCTCATTATAATGAGTTCAAACTGCCATGCATTCCAGTTTGTGCATCACTCGTGGGCATCTATAGTGTATTTATTATAATACTTATACTTGTGAGGAAGTTTTAATAAGGTAATCCATTACGAATTTGGTGATTACTGGTTCATTGCCTTCCTTAGCATCTCACTGTCTGGTCATCATTCTAGAATCTATCACAGGTATGGAACAAGCCAAGTGCTCAGAAAATGTTTGTTGATTGAATCATGATGAGAGGAACATAAGAGCATTGCAAGTTCGAGCAATCCCTTAAGTATCCTGGCCATCAATCTTCATCAATGGATAATAACCATCTCACCAAAGGCTGTACAAGTCAAATGAAGTAGCACAGATGGAAACAAATCTGAAAACCTCAGGAATTATCTGAATTCAGGCTCCTGTTGTTCCTAGTGAGGCCGCTTGCATGCTTGCTGTTGCCAACCTGTTTCCTATTCTCGTAGAAAATCATGCTATCTCCTCAGAATGTCTAAAAAAGAAAGCTGGAGATTAACACAGTGTTTCTTGTGCTGGCTTTATCAGTTACTTAAATGAGGCTCTAATTATGTTATTAAACTTGTTAAAGAAATTGTAGTTGCAAAGTCAAAATCTTCCTTAAGCTCCCCAGGGAAGTCCTCAGATCCCAGCTCCTGATCTCTGGCCCTGTGGATATATGTAAACCTCTACTGAATTGGGATCACTTTTGTTCCACTTTAATGGGAACAAAGCAAACAGCTAACTCTGATCATTCACAAAATGCAAACACTGTCACAGAATTAATCATATATATTGCACATGCAAAATATAATTAAATAAAAACACCAGAGAATTTGGTTTGGTCTTCCATTATTTTTGCCCCCCAGAGTATCCTGAGAAGTAATATGAGGCAAGAATTGAATCACAGATACCTTTAGAACCAATGGGACCAATTTTTCCATGGCGACCCACACTGCCTTTCTGTCCTTTGTCACCCATGTCCCCTGCAGAAAATAAAAGTTAATTGATGCACTTGTTTTTACACCATACATACATGCACACATGCATAAGGAGGGGCAGATACAACACATGTTGATGAGGCTGTGGGGAGATTAGAATGCTTATCCATGGTACTGTCTCAAAAAAAGAAAGAAAGAAAGAAATGGAGCTACCCGAAGTTTCAGCAATCCTACTTCTAGGTAAAAGCCCTCAAAATCCACAACCAAACTTACTGCCATCAAGTTGATTCCAACTCATAATGACCCTAGGACATAGAATTATCCCTGTGGGTTTCCAAGGCATTAGCTTTTTATGGGAGCAGAGTCTCATCTTTCTCCCCCCAGAGTGGTTTCCATTTATTTGCAATATGGAAAAAATAAAATGTCCATCAACAGATGAATGGATAAGCAAATTGGTACATACATATAGTGGATTGGCTGAACAACCATAAAGAGACATGATGTTCAAGAAACATCATACCTTGAGTGGACCTGGAGGGCATAATGCTAAGTAAAATAAAAGTTCCATGCCAACAAATATTGTATGTTTCCTCATAAGAAGACAATAAAAGACAAATAGAGCTCGTGTTCAATGATAGCAGAAACATGGGTTGGTGGTAAATGTGTAGCATATAGACACTAGTTATTTTTTGGTGATGGAAAGAGTGACCCTGATGCTGGGTATAATGAGTATAGAGAAGTAATAAGGAGTGGGTACATATGGATAAGATAAGAAAAATTGGTATGTGGAGATATAGATATACATGTATATTCACATGTATTTATGAATAAATATTCTTTATCACTCACTGCTATCGAGTTGATGCCAACTCATAATGACCATATAGAACAGGATAGAATGGCACCCGTGAGTTTCTGAGTGTAACTGTCAACGGGAAGAGAAAGCCCTGTCTACTGCAGAGCGGCTGGTGGTTGCACACTACTAATCTTATGGGACACAGCCCAATGAAAAGCCACTATGTGACCAGTGATCCAATGTATAGATACTTAGAAGTATCCACAGGTACATGTAAATACAAATAAATTAGTACAGGCACATAGGATACAAATACAGATATTCTTCAGACCTTTCAATATTGGTTTTCTGGGTTTGAAAACTCAAGATCATAGTCTCATGTGGCAACTTAGTCAATCTAAACAATACAGTTCATAAAATCATGGTCTGCATCTTACTGCTGTAGGGTTTTAAGAGCTTGGGAACAGTAAAGACACGGTACAGATCTCCACGTATAGGAACAAAAGAGTAAGAAGGTAACCAAAAGCACAGAGAAGAAAAAAAATCTACAAGACCCACAACTTCAGCTACCTTGAGGCCAGAACTAGATGGTACCTGTGTTAGACAGGGTTCTCTAGAGAGATAAAACCAAATTGCTGATAATTTAATATATTTATTTATAAAGATAATTAGATATATAACA